GTCGGAAATTTAATGCTCTCACCCCCTAGGATTCCATTGTATTTTGTATGGGGAAAAAAGACTTTTCGTAGAAATGGCATAGAATCCATGGAAATCAAAATTTTTCAATCTGAAAGCTCTGCTTCTCTTCAGAAGACTTCAGAGAATAATGCCCAATTGTTTATTTAAACATTTTTTAATTTTAACTATTTTTTAAGGGTCTCCGAAATATCCCAAAAAAAATCAAATATACAAACAGAAATATACAAAAGAAAAAAAAAATAGTTTAAATTAAAAAACGTTTAAATAAACAATTGGGCATTATTCTCTGAAGTCCTTTGAAGAGAAGCAGAGTTTTCAGATTGAAAAATTTTGATTTTCATGGATTCTATGCCATTTCTACGAAAAGTATTTTTTTCCCCATACAAAATACATGGGAAACTTTGAGCGCTTTGAGCGACCTCTAAATATATTTTTATTTTAAAATAAAAAACAGGGGTGTACTTTTTTCGGTATAGAACAATCCTAGGGGATGAGAGCATTAAATTTCCGATTTTACTTTTCTCCCATACACTTTTGGACCACCCTAATGTACATTCATACTGAGTAGATCGAACATCAGGAAATGATCAAGCGTCCATTTCCATATCAATAAAAAAAGCTATCCAAGAAACAAAAATTCTCTCGAAAAGCATAAACATAAAAAATATTGCTTAAAACTTAGCGCCACGGCAGCTAACTCAAATAAACCGAAAGTATGTATTAACAAACGCGATGATTTGAGTGTAAAAGCGATTTGTGAGTGTAAATATTATATGTTTAACTTTACTACTACATTACACATACATATGTATGTATATTTATGTTTGGTATGCATATGTACCTACGTATGTACATTAAGGGGGTCCAAGAATGCCCAGGAAAATGAATTTTTCGCATTTTCCTGCTGCCACCAACCATAATTATAAAAAATGGAAAAGAAAGAAAATACCCGCATTTTTTTATCTTTTTTTTTAATTACCGAACTGCTGTAGAGTTGCTATAAAATCGTTAAAAATAAATAATTTTTGATCGAATTAAATTCTCTTCAGAAATCATCGAAAAATAAAATGATATTGCCTTTTCACTTCAATTGTTTTTTTTTTTTGCGTGATGTGGTTACGAAGACAAAAAAATAACTAATTTTTGTAAGATTCAGGGTTATGAAAATATGGTTAGTAATATTGCATTCATTATAATTTTATTTTTACAAAATTTCTGAAGGCGTATTTTCTTATTCTCTCGAAATATGTTGGTTTTTAACGATTTTATAGCAATTCTACGAAAAAATGCGTTTCTTCATTTAATATACATACTTCAACTTCAAAGCTCTAGCGGTTAACCAATTTCAAAAAAATACGAGTGGCTGAAAAAAAATTAACCACCCTTATGTACACATGTATGTATGTATGTGTATTTATGCCATTTTGTCATATTGGCTATGCCTAAGTTTTTTTCGTTTATTGTAACATTGATACTTACATATTGTGGTGTCACGGTACTTTTTATAATTTTTATGCGATTTATATGTGCTTAGTAAATTTTTTCGTTAGAGCCAATAGGATACAGACATGCGTCTAAAAACTTTCGGCTTTGCTGGCCAGCATATCTAGTATGTATGTATGTACATACATAAAAAAAAATTACAGCAGAGCATTTCACCTAAACTATTAGAAAAATTTAACTCCCAAATTAGAGTCGAAACTCGGAGACATTTTTTTGAAAATTGATTTCAAAGTAAATCAGGGATAGTTGAAGTTTTGTTCGTGATAGAGCAGAGCTAGCATTCAATAGAACCCTGGTTCGATTCCTAATTCGCAAATCATTTAAAAAGGCTGGAAGAGTTTTTTCTAAAAGCGACCTTCCCTCGAAAAATGACAAACCTGCGGCTGTACTACTGGCAATGAAATGTTTTCTAACCCCCGTCTACCGTTCGGATCCGGGTTAAAACTGCAAGGCCTTCAATTTGTGTAACACAATTAGGCGCAGACCAGTAATTAGAGAAGAAGCGCGATCAACGTACATAGAGTATTTATATTACGATGGAAGGTCAAATTTGTCCGTGACTTTTTAAGGGAAGGTTAAGCAGAGCATCATTGAGTTCATCTCTCTCCGGACTGGAAGAGTTTAGGATTTGCTGTGGCAACCTGTGGACTACTCCTTTAGAAATCGCTTAGCAAATGCTAGGTGGCCCTGACATGCAAAGTTGCAAAATCTCTCTGGCGGGGTGGTGGACCGCGTGCACGTCTGATTCCTTAACCTAACCTAACCTAACCAATCTTAACCTAACCTAACCTCAGCAGTTTGCATGAGGCGCGAGGAAGACGAATGCGTTCTTTACTGGAAAGAACCTGCTTGGTTGTATTTCGTCTGCCATGTAGTCGCCCTCTATGTTCCTGTGCCTTGCGATCCAAATGAGTCGAAGTCTGCGCTATTTAGTTATTTGCTGCAGCGTTCGACCAGAGTACAGCGCAGTTTTTTGAGTTCAACGTGATAGTAACAAGGTTCTCCACAGTCTCCATCATAGATCTCAGCCTTAAAGCCGACGTTTTTTTTTCCAGGAACTCTGATCTGAGCACAGTAATCTAGCTGTTTTGAAGGAAGTAAAGTCAAAATTTGGTAATATACTCGAATGCCTTGTCTTTGAGTGTCTCTTTCAGAAGAAAGCTGTCATTTTGTTGTCAACTATGTATGTAGGTATAGAAGACGAATGCCAAGAATGTGTGGCTCTAAATGGATCACTTAAGTAGATCATACTAGATCGCTGCACTTTAGAGGGTAGATACAGGTTAATCGCTTAACCCAAACTTCGGCTAACAAAGGATTTATATATAAATTCAGCGGCAAATCTTGGGATTTAGGTTCCGTCTTCTACCTATGGTCTTTTTTTACTTATATCTTATTTTTAATTACGAGCTAATGGATATTTACTATAGTTGAACAAAAAAGAAAAAAGTAATAAAATAATTATAAAGCATAAAAAAAATGTATGAAGGCAAAAACGCCATTCAAACCTGATCTACTTCGCGCCTTTGTAGCAAGCAGCGTCCAACCAGATAGCCAGCTAGCTAGCTAGCCAATCGACAGTTAAGTCATTTCAGAACACTGGCCTCTATCTCCATCTCTGCGTCAGTTTCGAGTTTTTATTTTGCCTTATTTTATTCACTTTTTTTGCCAGCCACTTTTTCCGCAAATTTTCAAAGCACTTTTTTTCTACTTTAACTTGCTGCCCGCTGCCCGGCTGCCTGCTGCCCATAACGCATTTACGTCGCACGTAATATTACAACTTTTTATGTGAATTTCCGTTTATTACGTTAGGGGTACTTTTTATGAAATGTTGTTCTGTTCATACTTTTTCATCATAACGTTCACGAATATTTTTTTTTTCATATTTTTTTTTTTTTACAGCTATACAAAATTACCGCAATGTTATTTTTCAATGCCTGTTCGGAATATCGCGGCGCTGTCGCTCTCTTCTACATATTATCTTTCATTTTATGTTTTTTACTCACCTTCTGGTTTTTTTTGGTTTAATTTCATACTCGTAGCAGCATGTTCGATTTTTATCGTTACCATAATAATAAAAACGTAGAAGCTCTGAAAAAAAATTGATGCTTTGAAAAAGGGATGGAGGTTAAGTTTTGTTTGGTTTATGCAATGCGAAGGCATGTGGAAAATCATATATATATTTACTTATTTATAAACAAGTATGTATAAGTGTATTTATACATAAAAACTATTTATTGTTGTTGTTGCAAGTACAAGTGAGCAACTCCATTCGATCAATAAAGATCAATATTAACCATGCCTCCTGTTTCCAGCATTCAAGGTAGGGAGTTGTCAGTGGACAAAGTGGAAAATCGTTTGAAATAGTTCTACACGACATTTTAACAAATATTGATGTCGTCTTGGAAGCAGAAGATTGCACAATGGGAGTTTTTGCTTCCGCAGGGATAGTAGAACCACACATTCTCTTGGGGAGCTCAGTTAACACTTTCCATGAAGACTTTAGACTCCAACACTGAAATGGCAACTGAAGCTGAAGTTTGACGGACAACAAATAAGAGTTGGCAGTGGCAGCCAGGTACTATAAAGACCTTCAAAGTCGTTCGTAGTTCTTCAGGTATTGCAAAGAAATTTAAATTAAAATTGAACTCCGTGGCAAAAAGGAACCTTGCTTAAACTCTGATACATCATGTATCTCATGCATAATGGTCATGAGCACCGTTGATACAATAGTGACACCTGCAACCAAGTATTTTTTCTCAGACGGAAAGGGGAATGAGACATGAGACACGAGACTGATACCGAGACGACATGTGGTCACTGCGTTAATTTGTTTGGAAGATGAAGACTATGCTCAGAGTGTTTTCGGTCTTCACCAGACCGAGATAGCGCAGTTTTTTGTCGAATGTACCTTCACTTTCACCCGACAAACTACTAGAGCTTATAAAAGAGTTTGCTAAGTTTAAAGAGGAGTAATGGTTTGTAGGCGGTTTTTTTTTTGAAATCTTGATTTTTCGAATATCGAATAAACCAGCTTTTTTGACCGAACAAACCGGTTTTTTCATTTCATCCAAATCCAATAAAAGCTTTGAGTTTTTCTAAGTTTTCCAGATTAAGAGAAGCCCCTGAATAGTTTTAAAATTATATCCTAGGTTGTTTGGGGATGAATGCTTGGCGATTAAAGACTTTCTACGTGTTTGGCCGAGCACTACTTAATAACGTATTCATATCATTTGCAACCAAATTCAAATTGTTATTGTGTGTCACTTGTGTTTATTTATTTATTTTTAAGTTTCAATTAAAACACAGTTCCTGCTCTAACAAACCCTATACAAATTCAAAACTAAAAAAAATAAAAATATGTTTATCAAAATTTAAACCTTTTTTCTCAGAAGCGCTAAAATTTTGTTGAGTATACAGTTTTATATGTAGTTCTCTCAATTTTAGTATAATAATGTACAAGTTTCAAGAATTACCGTTGATTTTTTTAGAATTTGTTTTTGTAGCTATCAATAGATCCATTCAGTAAGCCGAAGCCTTTTAACTGGGGTGCATACCTGAAAAAAACAAAAATATAAAAGAAACAATTTTAGAAAATAAAATTTAAAAAGTACCTAAGTAAATATCAATTTTGGAATACACACAATTTTATTATTTTCAACAAGAGTTATCTTTTTTGTTTAGTGCAAACTTGGAAGCTTTAACTTGCTGTTCTTCGTTAAGAGAGCCGCAGTAGAAAAAGCAGCGTAGTCTCCACGCAATTACCCTAAAGAGATTTCCGCTAAGGAAGGCGGCTCATAGTTACGGTGACCATAAATATGGATTCAAAATGAAGGACAATTTTTCAAAAATATGCCTACATATATTTACGTAGTATAAATATATCAAAAGAGTATTTATGATTCTAAATTCTTAATACATTTTAAACTTAAAAAATGAATCACGTTTTCTTCATCGATATTAATCTTTTTTACATGAATATTTATAAAAGTATAGTAAAACATATTATAATTACAATAGCTTACACGAAAAGTGAAAATCTTTAAAAGATTATTTTATAGGCAAATTTTGAGTCGTTCAAAACGAAAACAATACCCTTTTTTTTGTTTTTTTTTTTTTGGTACTTTTCGCAGTTATTTGTCAAAAATCGACGTCATGAATCGAGGTAAACGACGAGTTACAAGTTACAAAAATATATAATTTGTGCAGATTGCGCTCCATAGCATCTACATTTCTAATCCGATTTTCATTATCTTTGGCTTATATCTTCTTTATCGAATTTTTAAAATAATGAAAAAAATAATCAAATGAAACTGCGTATTTGATTGAAAATCTCACTTTTTCGACTTTGACTGACTTTGATTTGACGAATGGTCGCCTGTAGCACTAATAATTTTCATTGAAGTCGGCACAAGTTATATATTTTGGTAAGAGACACTTCAATACCCTTCGAGTTGTAAGTCGCTTACGTTGATTTGGAGATTTTTTCATGAGATATTGAAGAAAAGCTACGAAAAGTATCAAAAAACACTTTTTTGAAAAAAATCCATCCATTGTCCGATAATTTTAAAATAACGAATAAAATGCGGGACAAATGCAGGACACTTGGAAAAAATCAGTACATTTTCAGGTTTTTCAGGTCTGAAAAACTACGCAGGACCGACCTTTGAAAAACAGTACGGTCCTGCAAAAAACAGAACGGATGGTCACCGTACTCATAGTCCAATGTCTTGTCCCATGCCCACGGCAGCGTGAGTCCTAGCGAGATTAATGATACACATATACATACGTTCTCACGCAAAGCCCTCCAAGAAACTTTTTTAGGTTTTCTGATTTCGGACTTGTAGATTCGCAGTCCAACTTATAAAGTTCCCAGCCAGAAGGTAACTTATTCCCGCGGACCTCAAGAAATTGCAATCTCGTCACCTTTTGCATTTTATTTTCTGATAGATTAATCCCTATCAACAAGATTAGGCTAAAAATGTAAACTTTTGAATTAAAGCTTTTTGAAGGTTAAATAAAATTTTTATATTTTTTTTGTGGAATGAAAGAGGCCTTTAAATATATGTTTTTTCGCGATAAACCTCGCTGAAAAATGCATACATGTACGTTTATACATATGTGTACCCATACACATACACACATTCATCCAGTAAAATAACGCAAATCTCTCGAGTAATGCATCATACGCACAAATGAAAGCAGGAAATGTTTCTATATGATTTCTATGTATATTGTACACAAGCCGACAATAAATATTTCCACTTAATTGTTGTTCTAAAAATTTCCAAGAATTTAGCTTACAAACATAAAAGTCCACTTTAAGAGCATCGCTTGAAAGGTGAATAAAAGAATTCAAACACGCACACAAATCAAATACGCAACAACTCGAAGAAAGCCAGAAGCGGAGGCAGACGCAGACGCAGTGGCAGCCATCAAGAGTAGAAAGGAGTTGCAAAAAAATATGTTTTTTCTATTACCTTTTTCTTTTTATTATTATTATTATTTTTTTTTTGCGTTGTTTTTTTTTCATAAAATTCTCGCATCTACATATATGTATGAATTTATAGCTTTTTTTTTGTACACACATAAACAAGACTACAAACTACGAGCAAGCAGCTTTTGAAGTGGCAGCAGCACACCGACTTGATTGCCAATAGAATAAATTGCGAAAAATCTGGAATAGAACATCAAAACGAAATAATAAAAGTGGCAGCCACGCATCCATATAAGCGCGAAAGTGGAAAACTAAAACTGCAAGCAGCATGCAACACAGAGCCTAGAGCTTCTTGCCACAGACTTACAGCATCAGCTTGCAACAGCATGCCAGCCGCATGCTGGATGCGTTTAGCCAATTGCTTGTGGCTCAGCGCCGGTCATAAATGGTCGTAAATCGTAGCTTGTATGCTGACACTGCTGCCGGGACCAGTCGACGCGCCAAACAACCTAACGACCGCTGCTCGACTGACCAACCAACAAACCAACAAACCCAACGACCAGCCAACTGACCGGCCGGCCTCCGCAGCTCGGTGTCGCACTGTGCAGCTGCTGCAATGCCAGCCAATAGCAAACAAAATAAAGAAGCAATACTCGTTCATATTCGTAGTAATAGCAATGGCAATGGCAAAATCAAAGCCAAAGCCAAAGTCGCTGTGAGCCAAACAAATAAGGCCAAGTGCAATAACCAAACTCATTTTTATTGGCGAGTTGCGGATGCGAGTTACATAGTCCGCGCTCGCAGAATCTCCGGCAGTGAGTGAAAGATGTAACTTTGCAATACCTGGCAATACAAACATACATATGTACATTTCTAAACATTTATAAACTCTTGCTTCAACCGGCTTCTCTGTGCTCACATACATACATACATATTAGATTCCACTAGTTCGATGTACGCACTCGCACTCGCTGCGAAAATGTGAAAATGCGGCAATGCGCAGAATTCTTGGCAGCGACCAGCCAACTTAGGCTATTGCGCTTCAAGTCTTCGGCTTGGCGATCATCACTGCAATTAAAGAATTGACCAATGCTTGATCTCGCATTCGCTTACATGCTTTTGCTGTAATTTTTTTATGGATTTT